GGCTGACTTTCCTTTGGTCTTCGAGAGTCTTTGAGTCTTGTTTCTGACCCGGACAATTTTAGGGGTCTACAATATATATGTTTTTTTCTCTAGCTTACCTTTGGATGTTTTCACATGATTTGGACTATGATAATCATATGTGGTATGAGAGTAGGGAAGGGATAAATTTGAAGTGTTGTAGTGGAGGCCATGTAGTAACTTAGGATGTATAGGTTACATTTACTGGATTACTGTATTTATATTGCACATATTCATGTAGTTGTTTAACTTTATATGCATGCAATACAATACATGTTTCTCCTATTTGTAAGTCTATAATCTTGAGTTACATGTTTTCCACTATTAGTAGTTGTATTATATAGTGTAGGGATCAAGGCGAGTCAGGTCATTACATTAATTTCCCATTGGACAACTTTAAAGGCAAGTCCACGTTGCTCATATGCATTTGAAGATGTCTTGCATGCCATTTATTATTGCTCGCATTCTCAGGATTTATAGTTCTCGATTGGACTTGTGTTAGCTTCCATGTTCACAATTTCATATAGTTTTTACTAGTTTCATACTTTAATCTTGCACCCAACAGCTGCTCAATTATCATGATTGCCTAGTGAACTTGGAGGTTGAGAAATATAACATTTTTTTGGTGGGCCAACATGATCTCCTTAGTTTGTAGTCTGTCATATTGCCTCATCTGTTTCTCAAAACACTTTTTTTCAGAATCAATGGAACCTCTAGCAGGATAACACGGGGTGGACTCCACCTGCACACCCATATGTAAAACTCATGGGTTTAAATTACGATTGCAGTCGCGGTTGCAGTTACTGCGGTTGCGGGTATTGCGAGTATTGCGATGTGGATTGCAACTATTGCGATGTGAAATTATTAATTATTTGCACTAAATATAAAAAAATTGTAATTATTGATATATGTTTTATTTTTTTAGATTTATACATTTTTATTCCTTTTTTTAAACATTCTATTATTTTAATGAATAATTTAATTTATTTTAAAAAATTTAAAAGTAAGAGAAATACAATAGTGGTTAGATTAATTCTCACTTAATACTTGTCATAATTTCTCAAAAATAGATTGTCTCATTGACACAAATAAAAAAGTTAAAGGTAAACACATTTAGACAAATTTCAAATAGACAAGAAAGAAAAAAGGAAATGGCTTGACATAAAGTAATATGATTGCCCACAAGTTTCATTGTCATCAATTATGTATCACTTAAATCGAAAACCGAAAGGCGATTCAAGTGATTATCTTCTAGAAGCAAGCGTCTTGCAGCGTCTACACTCCTGGCTCAGGAATATCACCCGAAGCAATTAGGAGAACGCAAGGACAACAGTTATAGATATAATTGTTAAGCCTAATGTATATAGCCTACCTTGGCCAGCCATTCTTCAGAAATTCCTTTTGTATATCTTTCTGTAAAAACATTTGTGAATATCAATAAAATGTCTATTCATTTCTCTTTTCTCTTGACCATGTGATTATGTCTCTGAATTGGTATTTCTTAAAAATTGTACGAAATTCCTTTAATAAATCGGTCAATCAAGAAAATTGGAGGGATTCCTATAAAATCCGTAAACTCCTATGTAAGAGGCTCACAGAAATCCTCCCTCACGTCGTCGACAGAAATTCCTCCAAGAAAAGGAGGATAGGGAGAGCCATGCATTTTCTAAAAACATTAAAATTAAACTTGCATTTGTGCATCACACACACAATAGTTGCACATTCAAAGACCTTATCATGAGGCAATCACATAAAATAGAAAAATTTTGCTTGTGTATGATAGCAGTCGACAGCAAAAGCCAAAAATGACCAAAAAAGGCAAAAAAAAAAAAATTTCAGAAAAATCAACCACAGAATAACTGAGCCTGGAGAGGCTCGCCGAAATAATACTCCCTCATCAGAATAACCGAGCCTGGAGAGGCTTGCCGAAATAATACTCTCTCAGAATAACTGAGCCTGGAGAGGCTTGCCGAAATAATACTCCCTCATCAGAATAATTGACCCCAGAGATATCTCAGCTTCCACTCACGGGCCAAATTCCCCAGTGAGAGCTATCAAACCAAGACCAGCAAGATTCCCCAAGGAAGGCTTGATCATCCAAACAGAATATCCAAGTCGAAAGGACTCATACTTCCTCAGTGGAGAATAGCTTTCCAACTCAAGCAATGAGTGAAGCTAAGCCTGAAGAGGCTTTCTAAATAATACTCTGGGATATCCTTGTCTTTGTATGAATATAGCTAAACGTACTCTAGTTTCTTTCACAATTTGTGGCTGAAGTTGTTTGACTTAAAACTTTAATAGCCACACGTTGAAGTTCAGGAGAACATAAACCAAACATCAACCACCATTAAGCTTTTTAAGAGATCAAGCAAAAAAAAATTATTTATAAAAAAAATATAATTATTTATTGAGAAAGGAAGAAACTATATTTACCTGGATTCATTCTAGACCAAGCTCTTTGAGCTTGAGGTGTAGCAAATGTTTCACCCATGTCTTTAAAAAATACCAACTATATAACATTATATTGTATAAGATATCAATACATAGGTATATAACAATAATTTTAAAAAACAAAATATAATTATTTAATACTAACCAAGCTCAAAGCTTTAATTTGATCATCCATGTTTCTCTCCAATTTCATAATGACCTTTTTGGTCCCTTCAAATGTCTCTCGATATACATCAGATCCATGTTCAACTCCATATTGAAATTGTGGATTAAGAAAATAACCTAAAAAATAAATAGCTAATCAATATGTATCTATAATTGTACATATTAACGTATTGCTTTACATAATAAAAGTAAAATTATAATGACATACCAGCAGAATGAGGATCCGAATGCATGAATCTCCAACGCTTGTCAATTATTTCTTGGTATTGAGAATAATAACAAGAACATTTTTGAATTGATTGTTTTGCTCGATCAATTGCCTCATATATAAAACCCATTGTTGGTTTCTCATCACCATCAACTGGCCTCAATACTTTTACTAAAGGCTCAAATACCTTCAATATATCATTAGCCTTGCTCCAAAAATCATTGCCAATAACAATTTGTCTTGCTTCAAATGCCAATCCATTTTTGTCTCTTCCAAATTTAGATCGTCTAAATTCTTCAGAGTTGAACATGTTCCTCAAGCCTTGCTTTTGTTGCACAATTGCTTGAAGTTGTAAGAATTGTGTTTCAAACCGAGTAACACCAGGACAAACAATTTCTCTACATCCAGTGTATTTTTTCATGAGATTTACAATCCATGTGTGATTGTAGATAAAAGTTGTTACTACTTTTGCATCACTTAATAACTTTTACACATTCTTTTTTCCCTATATCCTCCAAACAAAGATCCAAACATTGTGTTGCACATGCAGTCCAATATAAATGTTGTCTCTTTTACATCAACTTTTGACTGGATGCTTTAAGTTTTTTTTCATTATCTATAACAACTTGAATAACAAATTCTTCACCCACTTCGTCCACAACCTTATCCAATAATTGAAAGTAGTAATCAATATTTCTAGTGTCAACATTAGAAGCATCAATAGATTTCAAGAAAATTGTTCCCTTGCTACAATACACTAGAAAATTCATAATATGTGTATGATTTACACTATCTGTCCAACCATCACACATTATTGTTACTCCTTTTTCCTTGCATGTATTTTTCAACTTGCTAATCCATTCTTGCATGCTTTTATATTCAGCTTCTAAATACACATTAGAAACTTCATAAGGTGTAGGGCATTTAACTGAAGGACCTACCTTAGCTGCTGCAATAATCAAATTATGCAACCATGGAGAATTTGATAAATTCATAGGTAAGCGTTCATAAATTATAAACTTGCTTACCGCTTCTCCGAGATTTTTCTTTAATGTTTTCATAAGACCCCCACCTATTTTTGGTTGTTTAATACTTTTACTTCTCACAAGATCCACATTTGTAGATCTTAAAGCAAAAGTAGCATCTTCTTGTCTTGAAGTTTGACTAACACTCATGCAAGAGCTTCCACCTGATTCATATATGTTATTAGATCCCTTTGTTTTTTGTCTGAATCGTTGTTTATCTTCCCACTCATGTTGTGATCTAATGTTTTGTTGTGAAGCTATCCTCATCTCCTTATCACTATCTTCTTCATCATCTTCTTTTAATCGAGATTCAAATTCTTCTTTTCTTTTTCTAAAGTCAATTTGCTTTTCTTTTTTTTATCTTTGAGAAGTTTCATCATATTCTCCCTAACAAATGACGTGACTCTTGGACAACTTGCAACTTGACCTTTATCATGTGCTATGTGTTGCATCAATCTTGTAACGCCACCCTTTATTATTTTTTGACAAAGTTTATATTTGGACATTGTTGCGATTTCCTGCTATAGGTACTCCCAAATGCCATCCAATATTGTTGCATGGAGCACCTTGTAGTCTTCCTAAAGGAAATTCTTCACTTGATGTCATTGTGTATATATATATGTACTATCCGTACCGTTATGCCGAGCTCGAGCTAGGCATCTCAGCGCGGCGTGACCTCGGACACGCGCTAGGCCACGTCAGCTCGACATCCAAATAGGTCATAAACTGATCTCAGGCCCAAGGCCCAACAAAACCCTAAATTCACACAAAGGTACATGCATTGCTTATACGAGACTCATACACCCACAAACACTAACTTTAGCATCGGAGTCTCTTTTGCAGGTACCACCCCTATCTTGGAGCAACCAACGTACCAGCGAAGGAGGCTCACCGATCTTACCCAGCAGACCATCTCCACATTAGATCCCCGGTAAGAACATTTGGCGCCCACCTTGGTGCCGATCAAGACAGCTCTTATCGGCCACGCTTATGGTTTTCACCTAAAGTCATAGTAGACGAGCAACAGACGACGTCGATCATACGACCAACATGGACAACGAAGCAACATTGAGAAGGTTGATCGAGCAGGTCGAACAAATGCGGCAGCAACACACCGCCGATCTACAAAACATGCGTGCCAAGCACGAAACTGACCTGGCAGCACTGCGTACCGCTAACAAAGCTGACCTAGCAGCGCTGTGCACCGAGAATGAGCGTATTCGTGCTCAGCTCCCTCGGCGTTCCTTTGATCAACCCCCTCAACCGAGTAACCAACACGAGGAAGAGGGGCAGTCGATTTCTCGGCCACCAACAGCACCTAGGGCACCAACCCCCCGACCTGCTACACACCGGTCGCATGCACCGACAAACAGGTCAGCCCATGAAGTCAGCATTGCTCTAGCCCAAGCTCTAGGTAATCGGGCAAGCATCTGCCGCCACCCCTTTGTGGACAGTATCATGGAGACACCTCTGCCCTTTGGCTGGAAGCCCCTCCACATCGACCGCTACAACGGCACGACGGACCCGGACGAGCACGTCGACCTATATGTCACACAGGTAAACCTTTACACTAACGACGATGCTATTCTGTGTAGGGTTTTCCCGACCTCACTCAAGGGGGATGCATTGAATTGGTACACCTAGTTACCCGCTGAATCAATCAACAGCTTCGACACCCTGGTTAGGTGATTCACGACACAGTATGCCACGAGTTGACCTCACCACGTCACCTCCGCCGCCTAGGCCAGTCTCAGGCAGGGCGACGAAAAATCGCTGAGGGCGTTCATGGAACGCTTTGCCAGTATCTCAGTCAAGATTCGAAACTTGAACCCCGAGGTCACCCTACACGCCATGCTCATGGCGCTCAAGCCTGGACCTTTCGTGGACAGCCTGTGTCGACGATCTCCTCTTGATATGAATGAACTCCGTGCCCGAGCTACAGGGTACATTCAGATGGAAGAGCACTCTGCTTTTCGTGACCAGGTTCGCAACAAACCATAAGGAAAGCAAGACCAAGGTCAGGCCACAAACATTTAAAGTTGGTGACCTTGTTTGGTGGGGTGATTGAGACAAGAATAGACCCCTCCAAAGGGAAATTCGGAACTTGGAATGTCACCCACCTCAAATTTTCTTTCTCTTAACTTGTAAATTCAGGTGATGTAATCTTTTTCCTCCTCAGCCTTTTTCCCACTAAAGAAAAGCGTTTTTGGCCAAGGAAGGTTTTAATGAGGCACACCTCAGAAATAATCAACAAAGTAACTCCATTCCCATACATTTTCAGTATTGGCACATTAACCGTGACGACTTGCCAAGGTCGAGTTCGAACCTTCAAGTAAAAATTACGTTGCCAAGGTCGAATTCGAACCTTGATGCCAAGATCGAGTTCGAACCTTGTTATGCCAAGGTCGAGTCCGAACCTTGAGACTACATTTTCTTAACCAAGGTCGAGTTCGAACCTTGTTATGCCAAGGTCGAGTCCGAACCTTGAGACTACATTTTCTTAACCAAGGTCGAGTTCGAACCTTGTTATGCTAAGGTCGAGTCCGAACCTTGAGACTACATTTTCTTAACCAAGGTTGAGTTCGAACCTTGTTATGCCAAGGTCGAGTTCGAACCTTGAGACAACATTTTCTTAACCAAGGTCGAGTTCAAACCTTGTTATGCCAAGGTCGTGTCCGAACCTTGAGACTACATTTTCTTAACCAAGGTCGAGTTTGAACCTTGATATGCCAAGGTCGAGTCCGAACCTTAAGATCACATTTTCTTAACCAAGGTCAAGATCGACCCTTGAAGATTACATCTACTTAACGAGGTCAAATTTGAACCTTCAAACAACAAATTTGGGAGCTCCTCAGAAGCCCCTTCGCTCTTACATCACTCGGTGCTTGGGGGGCAAGTGTACTGGCCAGCCGAGTTGCCGACTTGTCCCTCACCAATCTATTGACTCGGTAAAAGGTTTACCAGCCTAACCAAGCAGTAAACTCATTATTGCCGAGTTCCTCAGCTCGGCCATGAAACATGACAACACAGGAGAGAAGCGTACGCAAAGGGTCACGGCCCCCTACCGAGCTCGGCATTAACTCCTTGACCCACGGTCTTCGGAGCTCAGGGGGCTAGTGTACTATCTGTACCGCTATGCCAAGCTCGAGCTCGGCATCTCAGCGCAGCGTGACCTCGGACACGCGCTAGGCCACGTCAGCTCGACATCCAAATAGGTCATAAACTGATCTCAAGCCCAAGGCCCAACAAAACCCTAAAATCACACAAAGGTACGTGCATTACTTATAGGAGACTCATACACCCACAAACACTAACTTTAGCATCGGAGTCTCTTTTGCAGGTACCACCCCCATCTTGGAGCAACCAACGTACCAGCGAAGGAGGCTCACCGATCTTACCCAGCGGACCATCTCCACATCGGATCCCCGGTAAGAAAAATATCTATATAAAATTTTGAAAATAAAATATCAATTAATAATTAAATTATATTTCAAACTTCAGAACAATGACTAAGTATAAAATTTTGAAAATATAATATCAATCAATAATTAAATTATATTTCAAACTTCAGAACAATGACTAATAAATTAACATAAAAATAAAAATAAATATAAACAACCTAATATTGATATACATATAATTTGGCTAAACATATTATTATATATAAAAATATTACAAAATATTCTAATAATCATTCACATCTATACTAATATATAAAGGAGATACCCTTTTCGGTAACCACTTTGGTCTCCACATTTTTTTGACCATTATACCCTTCTATTTTAAAAAATTAAATTTTTTTTATCAAATTTAAGAACTTAAAACTAATGGATTAATCATAACACCAACTAGATCAATATATTTATATTTTCTTTTAATAGAGACACAAAATATCTCGACCCTACTGATTAGAAAATAAAGAAAATACATTTAATACCATTTAATTTATACCTATGAACATGCTTTAGAAAACTTGAATTTTGTTCGGAAATGAAATTAAAATAGAGATGCACGTGCACATAACCCAATTCTTATCTTTTGGGCAAGTGAAAGAAATTTGGAGTAGGGCACAACCGCACAGGGTTCAATGGTTCAATGCTACATTAATAATAATAAATAATAGTAATATAATATAAAATTAAAATATTAGAGATTCTTGTTATTAAGCCCATGACCCACCATTTGAAATTCTAAATTAGAAACTTTGCCAACAACCCATACAATACGGAGGAGATTCACATGTCTAATCTCTAAAGGCCATTTGAAATTCTCATTAAAGGCCACAAGGCCCAAAGGCCCACGTGCCAAATCCACGTTTCATTCTAATCTTTTTCCATGCCACGTTTCCATTGCAAGTGATGGCATCCAACAAGTTTGTAGCACTCAGTAAAAAAAT